CCCAGTACTGACCAACCTAGTTCTGACGGACAGGAAGTGCCTTCCTCCCTCGACATTTCCCTTAGTGGCAAGCCCCCGACACCAGGTTACAGGGTTAATACCCCGGCGTCGGCTACGTCGGACGGTCTGGTTATGCCTTCCACCCTCGACATAACTCCACAGGCCTCAAGCTCCCCCTGGGTCGCAGAGCAAAAACTCCAGCACTGGCCTGTGTCGTCCCAGCATCATCCTTCTAACCTACTTACCTTAACAAACAACCCTTCCCCTGTTGAGAGCCTAGGCTAAGTATGACCACTGTGCCCTCTACTCCAGAAAAACTAAAAATTTTATATCCCAAACTCAAATCAAAAGTCCTGGAACATTCAGACCGAAGAAACCTTTGCCTTGGAGTCTTTCAGCGGCCCAACCCTACCTGCCTCACCCCTATACCCTAATGCCCAATCTCTACCAGGCCGCACGGCCCCAACTGCTAGGTTACAAAGTGGCGCGACCCACCCCTAATGCCCTCCGGCCAACATTGACTAGGCATCGCTCAAGACACTGGAGCGCCTTCCACCCTCCACACCCCCAGATCTCTCTACCAGGTCTCAAGCCCTCGTACCGCTCGAGTTACAGGGCAGCGCAACCAAGCCCCAACACCGACCAGCGTCGTTCTGACCTTGTCTATTCGCAAACTATCGGCATTCAAGACTAAGACAAATAACAGTCAAACCGCCAATCAACGCCATAGCTATAGTCCGATCACCCTTCTCCTTCAACCGCTTCAGCCGCTGGTTGTTGCTATCCCACAAAAACCTTCTCAGCCCTACTCCGGCGAGTCTTACCACAATAGTGCCACCATCTCCACCGCTGCTGTACCTTATTACAACTCTAGTACAAGCTAGCCCCTTCGCCGCAGAGCGCTTCGTCTCCCACCATCCCACCCCCACAACCCCTAGCAACCAGCATCAAACCTTTGAGAATTTCCAATTAGGGAATCAATTTGAAAGTTCAGAAAACCCATTAAACAATTCAATGCACAGTGTTCCCACAGGAAGAGAGACAAAGAGGGAAGGGCTACTCTCTCTCTCCCCACAAAAACTCAAGCGCCCAATGAAGTCTCAGTTGCATATAAAGGAATCACAAGGACCAAAGGGATACCTCCCCTCCTAAAAAAACAAACCTCTGTCTATTTTACTGCCTCCACGGGAAGGTGCCCCCTCACCTCCCCGCCCCAGTTCAAAACAGCCCCCAACACCACTTTTGCTCCCTCAGACGCATACAGTACCCCCTAAAGTAGGCCCCCGCAGAGCCGAAGATCCCCCTTATCTCCTGCCCCACCCCCTCCCAGCAGGACAGCCCTCTCGGGACTCTCACCTTGCAACCCCCTTGTCCTCTCTCCCCAACCGCCATGCTGATTCGACCCAAAAATCAGCATAGCCCAGGAAAGAACAAACCCTCAATACCACCGCTACTCACTCAAAGGTCACACCACCCACCTTGTGTAACCCTCGCAGAGAGGGGCGCCAACCCTAAATGAGGTATTCCATCCGACACTTATAACCCCGAACACTCTCTACAATCACAAACTGAGGCTCAAACTTCGATTTGACATCAAAATAAAAGCTAGAATTGATAGCAACAACCAACAATAAGTTTTTACTTAACCTATGTAAAAACATATTACAAATTCAATTCATGACTTACTAAGTAAGAATCAATTTACTCAACTTGTTACTCACATTAATCAACTTGCACACAACCAAAATAGAAACTACCTCTTGAATTTCGGCCTCGAATCAAAATTCAGAAGATAATCGACTCTTTCAAAATTAGAAGAATCACTGACGAAACTAGATTTTTTTGACGTATGATTGAGCAAAAAATCACGAGTCAGGACTAAATATCCGAAAAGGATTTTTGGAATAGCTTCCAAACCTCAGTTTAGGAAGCGTTCAGCAAAGACAATTAAAATGTATTTGAAAAAAAATTGAGCAAAAATTCCAAGAATCGCTGAATCACCAGAAATGTTAGGCAAAAGACTAATTCGACAATCCATTGTGTGTGGGAGAACCATAAGAAAATCAAACTCAGAGTCAATTATACTAACTAATTAGGAAATCATCACACCAATAGAGATTTAGTTACGAATTAAGGATGGCACCAGGTTGGATCACATCCCTCCATGACCCTTCACCCATTCTCTCTTGTTTCACCCATCTCCGATCATTACCGTTTTCCTTTCGATTCCCTCCATGAACCTAAACCCGGCACGCCTTCATATAAGGAGAGATCTTACTTCATCCCCCCCAAGGGCAGAAGACAATCGATCCGAGTTCCAACTACCCGACCTTGCAGGGCTCATTGTGACACGATATCGTCGAACCTGCCAGCGATCTGTGACAAGGGATCCAATTTGAAGAAAACAAAAGGCACATCCAACTACCATAACCAAAACAACGAAGAAAAAGAGGAAGAAGACAACCCAGAAGGAGAAGATGAAGAAAGAGACAGTAAGGAGAAGAAACTAACGACTAACCTCTTCCTCCTTCCTTCTTTTTGTGCTTTATCATTCTATAAGTCTTTTAACTAGCACCCTCCCCCTTTCTTCATCCACTCAAGACGTCAGCCAACTAACTCTGGTGCTGATTACTAAGACACCCTCCATCTCTGTGCCCCCTCTTGCTATCTTATCCTTCTCCACCTAGCAAAAAAAACACTTAAACTACGGTCAACGCTTACCACCAACCCTTCGTCATACCACCACGTCCAACCCCACCTATGCACACCTCCCACGCCCCATCCCTTGAGAGAAGGTTAACAACGGTCGTATTTTTCATCACCACTTCAGGACACCCTTCACCATTTCAGGATGCAGTCTGCCTAAACAGGTGGTTTTCAGGGTCTTCGGACCTTTCACCACTTCGGGACCATTCAAGTCTGAAAATCATGAATGGTCCTGAAGTCGTAAAAGCTCTAAGGACCCTGAAAACCACCTGTTTAGGCAGGCTACATCCTCAAGTGGTGAAGGGTGGTTTTCATGGTCTTCGGACCTTTCACCACTTCATGACCATTCAGGATTTTTAGACTGCCCAAAACTCTCACTTGACCGCTTCAGGACACCCTTCACCACTTCAGGATGCAGCCTGCCTAAACAGGTGGTTTTCAGGGTCTTCGGACCTTTCACCACTTCAGGACCATTTAGGATTTTCAGACTGTCCAAAACTCTCACTTCAGAATTTTCATTCCTGAATTTTCAGCTACCCGATAACCGTTCGTGCATCCCTCACCATCCCCAACGCGACGTGCTTCCTCTCACGCCCTTAGCGCTCGCTGCCGAATCATCGTGTGAAGAACCAACCCGATACACTTACCAGTACCTCCCGCCGCTGCCGAACCATATTGCGAAGAGCCAACCCAATGTGCTCACCGGTACGAGTACCGGGGCGCAACACTCCCAGTAGTGTCCGCCCCTTGCAACTATCTGGATACAGACTCAACCTTGGGACAAAGACATTGATGGGAGACTATTTGGCATCGATATCAACGACATTGGTGTTAACGACATTCTCATCTTCTCCCTCCTTTTCGTCTGATCCCCTCCTCTTCGTTTGCGTATGATCTGGGTCTGGTGCATTCTTCCTCTGTGTAGTGTCAGACCCCTTCACACCTTGCGATGATGATGATGTATGTTTGGTCTGCATTGCGACATTGATTGGTCTGATCATTGGTATATTAGCCTTCCGCTGCGCTATCGTGTACTATGTGAGAGGGGTCAGTTGTTATTCTAGTCTGCACCATTACGGTATGCAACAATTTGGTATGGGAGCGGACCTCTCAATCGGAGGATCCGCCCAATCAAGGAGCCAACTTGTTTGTTTGATTAATTGATTGATTGATTGATTGATTGTTTATTAGTTAATCAAGTAGGGCTTCGTCAAATCTCTGCAAAAAAAAAATTCGCAATAGATCTCCGGAACTTCGGATATTAGCATTTCGTTTTTTTCCCCCTCATTCTGGGCATATTAAGTGAACTAAGGAGGTTGTCATATTCTCGGAAACTGGATCTATTCTTCTTTGAAAGTGGAACCTCCATTCAATTTCACACAAATTTATTTTATTTTACTTTATTTCAAGATCACATTTTTTTTTAAAGCCGAAACTTTGCGAAACCTTGCCTAGATCTCGCTCATAGTACTCCTCCCAAAACGGCTCACTAATTTATTTATTATGTTGATTAGGACCGAGAATGAAAAGTTCAGTTTGGTTACCTTCCTACGTTTCTCTCCCACCCAGCCCTTCGCTTGCGTTCCCGGTTTAGCAGTGCTACATCAGCAGTGCCACGACAGCAACAATGCCACGTCAGCAGTGCCACGTCAGCAGTGCCACGTCCACAGCAGTGCCACGTCCACAGCAGTGCCACGTCAGTAGCAACGCCATATCAACAGTGTCACGTCAGCAGTGCCACAACAGCAGCAGTGCCCCGCCACCATGACGGCTTCAGTTTTGGGCATGCCAGACCAATTGGTCAGCGAGTCAATTGCCGAGTTCGACAGCGGATCCAAGATCAGCTCACACAGATCAAGGTTGAGGAACAGCGTCAGGCGACAGCCGAGGCTGCCCGCCTACAAGCTGAAGCAGAGGCAGCGGCTTAAAAGCAGCGGCTTCAAACCGCAGCTGACGTAGCGGCTGAAAAACAACAACTTCAAGCCGTAGTTAACGCGGATGCCCAGGTCCGCCACAGGCAGACCCTAGATCTGCTACAGCGACACGAAGCCGCCGGCGTCGACAGGCTCAAGCTCTGTCATTTTGAACCATCTGAGGGCCACGACGCGACACCGGAATAGCAGCACAAGGACTTTCTCTCCAAACTTGTGACCCGGTTGGTTTACACTTGTAGCCACCTGCAGTCCGAGCTAGAGAAACACCACCACGAACTGGAGAATCTCCGACAGACAGTGCGAAACCAAAAGGATCTACATGAGGATGCTACATGGACACTTCATACCCGTGTACAGGACCTGGAGCATGCAGCACTAAGACCAGATGCTGGCGAACCCAACAACGCAGCGTAAACTCACCAGTTGGAGCAGCGAATTGACCATGTACTCGAGATGATCGACGACATCAGCACTTTCGCCACACCCGCCTCCATCAGCGAGCAGCTCGACGCCTTGAAGATTGAGGTTCGACAACTACACCAGCCGCCTGACAACAATGGCAGCACCAGTGCATCGTGGCAGTACAAGATGCCAACGTTCTGGATCGAAAAATTTGATGATTATACGCATCAGGACCCGGTCACCTGGTGGCAGGGCTTTACGACGGCGCTTCGGATTCATCAGGTCCCAGATCACTTGTACATCTCGGCGTTGTTCCTCAATGCCAGGGGCGGATGCCAGATCTGGCTCAGCCACATGGCAACCATCCACGGCGTCCAGGTCGCCGACCTACACAAAAATATCTCTTGGGAAGATTTGATGAAGGAATGGAAAAAGAGGTTCATTGTTGACGACGCCCCGATGCTCGCCATCAATCGCCTCTTCGTCATGACTCAAGGCAACACACCAACGCGCGACTAGCTCATGGAATGGCAAAAGATCGTGGCAACACCCGATCTCGACTTGCCATTTTCGCATCTGCATCAGGAATTCTACAACCGGTCGTGTGCCGCCTTGAGACTCGCACTGGGTGATCGCGAACAATACACGACCTTCACCGAAATCATAGACAAGGCGCGTGAGATCATCAAGACCAATCAGGCTGCTGCAAACGAGAAATCAACGTGGCAGCCAGCCTATGTGGAGAAAGGAAAATTTGGTCCATGTCCGCAACCCGCCGTTGCAATCCAACTGGACAACCTTGTGAAAGACCCACCAGCCACCCAGCATTACGTGAGGGAGATCAAGTGGTCGCCGTCCAGCCGCGAAGCAACAACTCCCGTGGAAAAGGGAAGGCTAAAACAGCATTGCCGATCGGAAATGGACATCCAGTACCATTGGTCAAGTTCAACTTGATCGAGGATGAATACAAGTACCGCAGTCAATACGGCTGCTGCTATTGGTGCAACAACACCAAGTGCAAGACCTCCCAATGCCAAGACCAAGGCATTGGAGGTGAGGCGGCTCCACCTCTCACTCCGCCAGATTCGGCCGCCTTGCTAGCGGCCTCCTACACATTTGGGGAGAATGTGGATGTCGCAAGTCCTCGGTTCACTTACGAGGATTACGTTGTCCACTTGGTCCCACCATTGGACCAGCCACTCCACGTGCAAGACTCCACCGCATGCACGGTTTCATTACGATCGACAACCGATTCGGCAACTTTGCTGCCAACTTTCATCGGGGATTCGACGTCATGGTCAAGACTTGAGAAACTCGACCCGTTCACGTTCGCGGACTTCCAATAGATGCCCCTAATCCCGACCAGTCGATTGCCTAAACCGCACTGCAACGCGCTCATGGCACAATTGCGGTATTACTTGGACACTGTAGTACCAACTTTGTTGATGGACGCTGGAGTAGGGGTTGTTGACCTTCGCGACTACCTCGCGAAGATCGACCACGAGTTCAAGACATAACGGTACGCCACCAACGACGCGTCATTGTTGTAAATACGCATCCAGATCAGAGAAGTGACCTGCAACGCTTTGATCGATTGTAGAGCTACTCGCAACTATATGAGCCAATATTTCCTGGTACGCACTGGCCTGGGGCCATGCGTTCGGAGGAAGTCGCAACCCACGCAAGTCACGTTGGCCGACGATCATACGCATAAGTCACTCCACCGGTGCATTGATTTCGTCCCCGCCTCAGATGCCTCCTAAAGAAAGGGAAATAAATCTATCACAGTGAACCAATGACCTCTTGCCGCCTGACGTTAAGAACAACTTAGACGGAAAATGATCACAGAAAGGAAAGTCATTCACACAGACAAGCATAGACGGAGAGGGTCATTCGGGAACGAACCGGTGACCTTGGGCTATGTCCGTTTAGACTTTTCTTCTTTGTGATCGCTTTATTTTTCGTTGTCTTCTTTCTTTTTCTGTTTGACACATACATACAAGTGTGAAAAAGTGAGAACAACCAAACATTAGTCATTTCAAGGTCGACCCACTTCCATTTCAATAAGCCACACCTGCAGTCGAATCAGACGACAAGTTCAACAAAAGAAACAGTGCAAATCCAAACTCAGGACAGACTCACATTCACGCATGCCAACACACATTTCCTCTACCTTTCAGTGAATGTTCAAAGAACAAGGTCAAGCAAAGTGTGGGTTCACTCAGGCGTCAAAGGATCCGAGTCAAACTAACTGTCCACTGACCTTGAGTGAAGTTGAACGGTACACTCAAGAAGACCGTAGAGAATTACGCTCCTTTTGACGTGAAGGTAGTCATTCAGTCGTCATCAAAGTGATCGACACTACTCTCTTGCTGCGACCACAACACCCCTTTTTCTTACTTTTCAGTAAGTGTCGTCGCCGCTTGCTTCCAACATCACCGCGTTATTGCGCCGTCAAGTCCACGCCACCTCAAAACACACCACTAGAGTGGCACCTTTCCTGCGTCAATGCCCAATTGCTGTTTGACGCAAAAATAGTGTCGTCACTGTCGCAAATCCTGTGTCGTGGTTGCAAAAAATTTGACAGCGCTTTCACACCACTGTCGTAAGACTTAGTGCCGCCGTCGTACAAATTCAGCAGCGCTTCCACACCACCGCCGTAAGACTTAGTGCCGCAGCCGCAAAAATTCAGTAGCGCTTCCGCACCACCGCCGTAAATCTTAGTGCCGCCGCCACATAAATTCAGCAGCGATTCCACACCACCGTCGTAAATCTTAGTGCCGCCGCCGCAGAAATTTAGCAGCGCTTCCGCACCACCGTCGTAAAACTTAATGCCGCCGCCGCAGAAATTCAGCAGCGCTTCCGCACCACCACCGTAAATCTTAGTGCCGCCGCCACATAAATTCGGCAGCACTTACGTACCACCGCCGAAAGACTTAGTGCCGCCACCGTAAAATTTTGGCAGCACTTCCGTACCACCGCCGTAAATCTTAGTGCCGCCGCCGTAGAAATTCGGCATCACTTCCGTACCACCGCCGAAAGACTTAGTGTTGCCGCCCTAAAATTTGGGCAGCACTTCCGTACCACCGCCGTAAAACTTAGTGCCGCCGCCGTAAAAATTCGGCAGCACTTTCCCACCGCAGTGAGAAAATGGCAGGCCAAAATTAGTAAAACTTGGGTTCCAGACCGAAATTCCACCTTACCGCACCGCCGTAGTCTCGCAGCGTCCCTGGGTCTGTCCTGTGGGACCAGCACCAGCCAAAGCCTCTGCTGCCCGTTTCTTCGACGAACGGGCGCAGACCCTGAAAACCGACTGAGGGGAGGGGAAAGGCAACATGTAGGGGTGTATGTTTCCATGTTCTAGTGGAAGATTCATTCGATTTTGCTCATCCTGTCGTTGGAGTCTTCAAGGGGCCAACCACAGGTAAGGTGGCAACCCCCCCCCTTCTCTCTCTCTCTCTCTCTCTCTCTCTCTCTCTCTCTCTCTCTCTCTCTCTCTGTACTTAGTCGCGTCCCTGCGGCAGATTCACCCGATTTTGTCCATCATGTGGATGGACTGTTGAGGCTCAGCCTCCTGATGAGTTGGTGAGACTCCAACGAAAGAGTCTGGCGCAGTCCTTCTTCGAGCTGCCCGTTCGTTCGAGAAGAACGGCTGCTCCAACGAACGGAAAAAAARAATTGAAAAAAAAAAAAAAAAAAATCTAAACTAAGTCTATAAAAAAAAATACGAAAACAAAAAAACAAAAAACAAAAACGGTATGATGCCATTGAAAACGGCACCAGTTCTTCAGGGACTGTAAGTCCCTATTTCCCTTTGTGCGCCATGTAGCGCCGTCGATTTTTTTTTTTTTTTTTTCGGTAATCATAAAACCGTTGGCTTATGCCAACGGTTACTGCTATGTGCCCTCAGGCACATCTTCTAGCGCCAAGTGGCACTGTTTTTGGTTTTTAATTATTTATTTTTATTTTTATTATTTATTTATTTATTTATTATTATCATTTGATTTTTGCGTGTCATTTTTGCGCAGGGGCCATGCTAATCTGCGCGGCCAATTTCGGCCGCGCGATCTCGACGATCCCGCGGCTGAACGTGACCGCGCTCGGACACACTGGGTTGCTCCAAAAGGAGCTAGCACCTGTAGTTGCAGCATATCAGACTGGATCCCGATATCAGTCGAGTGACAGTTTGGCATGTTTCCTACTGGGCTAGCTCCTTTTTACGGGAGCTAAGCTTGCAGCTCTTCTATTTGAAGAGTTGCCCTCAGTAGGATTCCTTGCTATGGCTTATGGCAGGCTAAGCCTGCCGCACTTTGCCAACGGCTGCGCCGTTGTCAACCCGGTGCCGTCCCGGGCTGGCGGCTCGTGGCTCAGCAACCTATAGCCAGCCGCCATGGCACCAGGCCCTTCATCCGAAGCAACCCCTGCGACTAAAAAACCAACCTTCTTTGCGTTGCGGCCCTGTTCCCAGCACGACCGCCCCTTTTTGAGCTTATCCCGGCCCTGAATCGCGCTACTTAGCAGCCGCGCGACATTATTTTGGATAGAATGGGTCAAGTTATAATCTTTCCATGACCGCGCATCCCTGCAGTCTTGTCGAAAACCTGCGGACGAGTCGGAATACTCCAATAGCATGTCTATTTCGTCAGACCAATTTCCACAAACTTACATCAAAACTAGGACTTCGCCCAACATCGAAAATACAGGGCAGATACCCTTGTTAGGGTTTCTGTCCCGACAGCGTAACTAAGCAACTTGACCGAGTATGTTTCCAGTGATCCTTACAAGATGGTATCCGCAGACTTACTTTTCAACCGCAGAGGTGTATACCTTCTAGCACGTGACCGTTCGACCCTTAGGTTTAGCAGTGGGGGGGCGCACAAAGTACTATTCTACAGATGATCACAAAATCATGGGTTCTTCATGAAGTTTACTTGTTCTTAGTATGTACAAGGTCATTATATAATTCTTTTCAACAGGATCATCAGTTGATCGGGATGTGTAAATATGAACGACGGCTATCGTTGGCTTATTTACGTATCCCGATTGCTAGATTCCTCCTGAATGCGTGCAACAGAGTCATCGATAAGTGTGGTTACGACTGCATTGCCATCAGTAACTAATGATAGAGAGCATACTATACATCGTTCTTCATATATTAATGCGCAGACTACGAGTAATGATCCATGAAAGGCAAAATCAACAGGCGATTCCTTTCCAATTTTCGGTGCTAGTTGAGCCTTGCAAATACGTTTTTTCGACTTGGGGTTATCACCCAATCGATGTGCGTAAATACGAGTGATGGAAATCACTTAGTTACTTACGTATCCCGACTCGTTGATTACTCCCAGAAGGCAGAGGCATATATATCCGTGGTAATGGCTACGTCATCAATGATATACTATTTATCCTTTATAGCATATTCATGTGAGATTTGGGCATCGAAGACAAGTTTTACTAAAGAATCATCTCATCACACGATTTCA